AGGCATCATCTTGAAACCAATCATCATGAAATACCTTTCGATCTGGATTTTTTTTCTGGGGCATTATTTGTACATTTTTAGCCCTACCACACGAGGTGAAGAGGCTCTGAAAGTATCTCATTCACTAAGATTCCATCCTAGCCTAGACTATATGCAGGTTTCAGAGTAATCGATATTCTTCTGAAGACCCACCCTCGTTCACGCTAATAAATACATCCATACATTATGTACAATTAAAATTACAATTAATCTAAAATATTAACCTAGGTTGGTGGGTTTATAGGGTACTTGATATTCCACCACCCATGCGTACTCTACTATCGCACTAATAAATACATTCACTCAAACAGTAACCAATCATTCTGTATTTACAAATAAAATAAATTAATATTGTGCGCATTTAATATTGTAACAATGCCTCCGCCCATTCACTCTAAAAGATATTATTTTTTATAACCACAATTAAATTGGAGCGCGAGTGCATGAGAGTTCGCTTGATGCGCGGCGGCTCCAGAGACGAGGAACGCGTAGCTTATCTTTTTCGTGGTTTGCGCTCTCGTTATTTTTCCCCGGGGACGACAAGTGGACGTTTTCTGGATTCAGCAGCCTTTTTTCGGAGAGAAGAGATCTTTCTGGACGTCGGACTGCACAACCGGCTTCATACGAGTTCGACAACTATTTGCCTTGGACTTTCAACGAGCTGCAGGGTAATCATTTGTCTAGAGAACATTTTATTTTCATTTGTTCACTTTTATTAATTGATTTTCTTTATTATTGCCGGCACAATGTTTTTTTGTTTTCTTAATTTTTTTATAAAAAGGACTTAATCAGTATTGTTCATTTTTATAAGCCTAATACTAACCTTAATCGGTGGGTCTGTGGAGTACTCGATTTTCCTGCACAACCCAGCCATAGCCACGCACTTTCGCGCTAATAAATACATTCATTCTACCCAAAACACACAAAGAGATATCTATCCTAGTGTGATGGGCCTGTGGTGTACTCGATATTCCGACCACTACCCAAACACCAGTGCTGGGCAAAAATCAAGTCAAAAGTCATGTCTAGTGATTAATTATTGATCACTCAGAACGTTAGTCATGATTGGTAGTAAGTGACTAATTTAGTCATTAGTCGCCATATGTGATTGATGGATAAATTAGTCATGACTAGTAATTAAATGCGAGGCATGACTAATTTAGTCACAATATAGTTAGTCATGACTAAATTTCGATAAATCATGTCCAAAAAATGAAAAATACACTTCGTCACTTTTAAAAAATTTTCTAACAGAAATTTATTTCATCAAAACGAAAATCCTTCAACACCTTATTTAACAAAAATCAATTTTCCGATTATAAGTAAATTTCCGTCGTTATGAAAAGCCAAAAAATAATTATAATGATAATAATAAAATAAAAAAATTCTAGAACAAGCTACGCTTTGAAAATTAAATATGTTTACATAACCGATCAATGGAAAAAATATTTCCTGGAATGAAAATTATTTACACTTACAAGGAGAGATTTCTACATTATTTGGAAAATATACCATCTAGGGGTCTTGATTGTAATAAAATAGACATGAAAAATAATTATGTAACATTGGTATTCGTTTATGATGTTTATGACACTTTTTGAAGGTTGGCCTTGAGCATGACTCTCACTCAAAATTTTTATCCGGAGTCGGTTGGATTTTGGTAAGTTGGTCATAGTAGCCAGAGTAGGACAAAATCAAACTAATTCAGTCATGATTAAGAACTTGGATTGAAGTTTAACATGATTGAATTAATCATGAGTAAATTAATCATTATATGATTTAGTCATACCTCATGATTGAATTAATTATGATTAAATCATATAATGATTAATTTACTCATGACTAATTCAATCATGATTAAACTTCAATCAAAATTCTGAATCATGATTGGATTAGTTAGATTTTGCCCAACTCTCCCAAACACTAAGACATTCTTGCCAATAAATACACTCACTTCAGGAAAGGAAAACGAAACCACATTTGGAGAAGCATTAAAGGCGACCATATGTATTTATTTGCTTCAGATATTCGATTACTTTCTTGCTGTTGTCATTGGATGTTGTTGACAGGGAAAAAATCTTGGGCAGAAGATTAATTAAAGAAATACTATATATTAAATCAGATAATGATTAAGAAGTGATAATTTTAATGCCATCTATAGTTGCCTAATTTAGTCCCTTTTCACTATAATGTGTCATTTTGTGTCTATAGCTATAATTAGTTACTTTCCATTTGGTTATTCATATAATAAAGATAGAATCACGTTTTGATGTTTCAATGATCTTTAAGAAGAGGTTTTCAATAAAAGTTTGTTATTTATGTATATAAATATTTTTTTAAAGTATAATTTTCTTTGGATTAGTTGATTGTTAGTTTTAGTTATTATTTATGTATGTGTTATATTTATAAAATATATATGTATATACATATTATTTATATATACGTTTATATGGTTGTTAAGTTTTTTCATTATAATATTTTACCAACAATATATTTAGTAGTCTATTGACCGAATTTCTTCTTTCAATTAATTAATTTTTTTACGTAAGGTTTTGGCTGAAATGAAAAAGTTAGTGCCACAAGCAAGATTCGAACCCAAGACCCTGCTGTTTTACCGCTTGGGCTATAGTGACTTCGATCCACTCGGACACCAAATAGTAGAGGAGCGGTGTATATAGACGAAGGTCGTGGGTTCGAAGACCGCTCGTCACACTAACGTTTTCATTTCAGCCAAAATCGTACATAATAGAATAATTAATTGAAATAATTAATGTAGTCAATTATAATGATGAGCTAGATTATCGACCTGCTGGAAACATGAAGTTTTTCGGAGGATCTACGGAAGAGGTCAACACAGAGAAAAACTCCATTTCGGTTTTCGCCGAGCTTTTGACAGTTTTTATACTGTCATCTTCAAGGCCTGTTTTATTATCATATAAAAAAAATTAAAAACATGAAAAACAAATTGCACAAAAAGTGAAATATCTTACTTAAACATTAATGGGGAAATAAAAAGACTTGGTATTTTGGGCACAGAAGTACAATAAGTTTTTTTGGGTCTCAACATCTAAACATTATTTAAATTGAATAAATTAAAAATTAAAAAGTACAAGTAAAAGTACAATAAAAATTAAAAATTAAAAAACGTGGTCGAGAAAAGGTTACCTCATAAAAGTCTAAAACACTAGTAAAATCTTCCTTTCTTTGTTTTCAGGTACATGCGATCACAGTGCGTTTCATATATACGTGTATATATATACATATATATATGAGTTTTTTTGGGGCTCAACATCTGAACATTATTTAAATTGAATAAATTAATAATTAAAAATTACAACTAATAGTACAATAAAAATTAAAAATTAAAAAACGTGGTCGAGAAAAGGTTACTTCATAAAAGTCTATACATATAAAAAGTATATATATACAATTAACTTATCTTCCATTTAAATTACTTAACTAATTAAATTACTACTAATTAAATAAGATCACATATCAAAACCAAAAACAAACTCTATTCGACGAGAAAAACAAAGGCTAAGGGTTAAACTCGTTTTTTCTCCTCTGGTTAACAGTTTCCGCCACTAGGGCGACGTTCTCATTTCCCTCCTTTGTTTTGAATTCTTGTATTCGTTTATGAGGCCTGCATAGACTGAAATGGATCCCAACCTATCGGTTTGTAGATTACAAGTATTTGGGGTGACACTGATATTCACTTTTTCGGTCAGTAATCTCCTTTCCAAGTTCGACTCCCCGGACAAGATTTTCGGGGAGTCTAACTTGAAAAAGTGATTGCTGTTTAACGCATAGGTAGCATATAAAAACTGTCGCAAGCTCGGCGAAAACCGAAAAGAAGTTTTTCTCTGTGTTAACCTCTTCCGTAGATCCTCCGAAAAAACTTCGTGGTCAATTATGACTGCTAAACATAAATTGATTAAAATAATAAGTAAAGAAAAAATCACATCATTTACAGCTAGTTTGGCCATTTCATATCGCTGAGAATTAAAGCCTAATTTCACGACATTTGAAAAATGTCAAAAAGGAGGGAAAATTCGAAAGGTCGTAGGTTGAGATCGAGCTCAAGGGTAGAGCAGCGTCGTATTTAGCCGAAGGTCGTGGGTTCGAATCCCGCTCTTGTCATTAATTTTTAGTTGCAGCCAAAAACATACACAAAAATAATCAATAAAATTTTAAGTCTAATATCGTGACGAGTAAGTTATCTAATTTTTTTCTAATAATTACTGTGTTCCTATTATTAATAATAAACATTGTAATTGCCTGTGGAGCCCTGATGAAGACCTCAATAAAGGTTGAAATTTTGGCGTAAGTTACAAAATCTGCTTCTTTTTTTGATGACCGCATCCTTGATCTTCAACTTATTAATGATATCCTGATCGATTCATCCTTCCATCAATAACACTGATATAAGATAATTGTAGTAATGTATCGAGTGATAGTATTTGTAATAATTTCGTGGAAAATGGTACAAAATTTTTAATTTTTAATCACGCGCTAATGATTGAATTTTTAGAATTTAATATTAAATGTTATGTCAATAATAAAAAAACTACCTTATGGTTATCTAAGGTTTGATATTGAACGTATGTGTGCGTTTTATTTTATGGTTACGTATAAACTGCCTTTGGGAAACCAATAAAATATTTTATTTGTCGATCTAGTAAATAAGTATGTGAATCTCGAAGGAAGAGGGCAGTTTAGATAAGGAGAAAAAGGACAGTTATTGGGCTGGAGGCTCGAACAGATATGAATCTCCGCTTCCTGGTCGTATTATTAAAAAAAATATATATAACTCTGCGCTGTAAAACACGAAACAATCCCTTTAGATAAGTCGAAAAAGAATTAGATCAATTTAAGTGTTAGGAGGAGCAAAATGTTTAAAGGAATATTTACCCAGGATTTTATTTTTACGGATTGTTTAAATATTTCACAGAGAATCTTACCGTTTCTTTATTTCTTTGAGATTTCAAAAGGACGCCTTCCAGCCAGAAGAACTGGCCGTATGGATCGTCACCTGCGTACATCCCCATGTAGAGGTTCGTGTTCAAAGCCACTATCCTCAATTTTTGCTCTTTCTGTTCAATTGTGTAATAGCCACCTGAAACAATAAAAATAAGAAATAAATCATTGATATTATATGAAAAAGTTATTTAATTTTCAAGCCTATGTTTATTACAAAACGGCGAACCAATTGTGCCAAGGCATATTTTTTTCTTCCTCGAAAAAAATATCTATTCATTATTTATCGAATTGCTCATATATAATTTTTCTTGAAAGTACAGTATGACACATACACAGGTCTATTAATTTACCACGACCTCATTAAAAGTCGATAATAAAAAATAACAAATGTTAAAAGTAAAAACCAAGGTAATTGTAGGTTTGAATAGGGAGATGGTCAAAGGTGATTATACTTGACATAAATTAGAATAGGCGGACGCAGAAATGTGATTAACAATGTTCGTGATCAACATGAGTTTATCCGCAAACGAACGAACCAACCCTGCAATGCTAAGTTATCGAACCTTAATACATTTCGGACGTTATGCATTCTACAAAGTGTATATTCGTTGAAATAAATTGTTTTTTTATGATTTTTCTAATTTTTTAATAATTAGTTCAATTACTATATAATATATTCCAATATAGTATTTTTTGCGGTCTAAATTTCGGCTTACTTAACAGAACCTGGGCCAGAGAAAAAAATATATTCCTAAACCATTTAGAATCCACCTTTATTACTCATACAGATAAAAATCATACATCTTCACGGGCAAAAAAAAAAAAATCAACCCTTCGGTATACCACTTCTTCCTCTAACCTTTCCATCTTTTTTGGTTAAATACCACATAACCTAATCCCCCCCAAAAAAATTGCCTGGACAGGACCTAATTATTTCCACTATACTTCCAGAACCCTGTGAAAGAATTTTGAACTACAATATACTATGTCATTCTGAGTACAATTTTCTTTCTCTTGTAGTATTTAGTTGTCTTTCTCATTTCAAAAATGCATCACCTTCAGCAGACCCGTGAATCTTACTTCTTTGATGTCAAAAATCCTTGAAAGTCTACACGATCCAGAAAGAATTTAAAGTTGTTGATTCCATTTCCTCGGCTCTGGAGTGGCTCAGTTGTTCGATAATCTGGCAATCATTCCTACTTTATATAAATGAACGATTCCTACGAAGTTTTTATTTCCTAAATTTTGAATCTTGTATAGAGTACAACAACCAACTGCTGCTCCAGAGTGAAGTGTATTCTGCGGCAACTGGATTTTTGATTTTACTCTCAAGGAAGTCGACGTCCCAAAAGGGTGCGTTCTTATTTCATTCTTTTATAAGAATTTATCTGCTAACTTTTCTTTCAATATCTTCATAGCCATCTACGCGGATCAAACCCCAATTTGATATATCTTACGCAAGCTTTTTCTATAACTTTCAACATCGAAAAGCACTTTGAGTTTATTCAAAACAGTGGCAAACCTGGGGTACAAGACTGAATGAAGAAAATTCGTACCTTAACAAGAAGGAAATACCGACTTTCATTAAGTCAGATACTTAGGACTAGAGGCAAACTGCAGACCAAAGACAAGTCCCGATAAATAACATACTAACAAAAGGCTTGGGCAACTACAAATAGTCGTAGGACGAAATCGATTTTGATCACTTAAATTCAAATAAAATTTTACAGATGTTTTCGTGGTCTGATTGACCAAATATCTTATTTCAATTAATTATACATTATGTAAGGTATTGATTCATAGAAAAAAGTCATTGTCATGAGTGGGATTCGACCCCACGACCTTCGGCTAGATACGCAGCTGCTCTACCACTTGAACTATCGTGACTTCGATCCACTCGGACACTAAAAAAATCGAAAAATGTCAAACAAGGAAGGGAAATACGAAATGTGGGTTGAGATGGAAGTGGATCGAATTCACGATAGCTCAAGTGGTAGAGCAGCGGCGTATCTAGCCGAAGGTGAATCCCGCTCGTGACACTGACATTTTTATCTCAACCAATACCTTACATAAACATTAATTAATTGAAATTTTACAAAACATTTTTGACACCAATTTAGACATACAAAGTAGAATTGTTTAGATCCGCCAAGCCATCAAATATCCAAATTCAATATTTCTAATCAAAATTCCTCAGAAACCTTAGTCTTGAATCTCACTATCCACTACGATTTTGTCATTCCTTTGTCAACCAACCGTTCCGATCCTGCTTCTAAAAGTTCCACACCAAGCTTTCCATCCATCTTCTCGCCTGCCCAATTCCACTTTCCTAACGCGAGAAAATTAAAGAAACTTTTTTCTTCTCCAAGTAACTCCGAAAAATGGGAGTTTATTTCATATCGCAAATGATATGAATAAAGGCCACTTTTTCCTTTAAATCCTTGTTTTAATTAATGAAAACCGAACCGTATCAAATAGTGAGGATTGGTTATTATTTGGTGCCATATCGGTGTTGTCTGGCGCAAACAAATACAGCAGTTTTCATGTAATTAAAATTAAAATAAAAAGATTTAAAGAAACCATAAACGACACGTCTTTGTAATCTCCTGGCTCCGTAATCGCTCATTTTGAGTATATGAACAGGTAGGTTTCTCTTAACCAGGAAAAACCTCTCCTAAAACATATGTTCTTTTTATTTCTTATANATATATATACTGGGTTTTTAAAGAGTTTAGATGGCCCAGTTGAATTTCTCTTGAACCAATGACGCTATCAAAAGTTTAAAAGCCCTGTTCAACTTCAAAATTTCAAATTTTTTCTCCTAACATTTCTCTTAACCAGGAAAAAACCTCTCCTAAAACATATGTTCTTTTTATTTCTTATATATATACTGGGTTTTTAAAGAGTTTAGATGGCCCAGTTGAATTTCTCTTGAACCAATGACGCTATCAAAAGTTTAAAAGCCCCGTTCATCTTCAAAATTTCAAATACGACCATGACACATTTTAAGGATTTTTCACGCTGAAAACAAAGGTACAATTTTCTCTTAAATTAGTCAAAAATTGACGAAGTTATCCAAAAAGTTTGTAGAAAAAAGCAGTCATTTGGTATGCTATTTATTAATCATATTTCATTTTCGAACAGTCTGACTTGGGTAAGGATGCAAAGATTAGCTCTTTTTAACCACTCTTTACCGGTGCTCAGATTAACGGTCAGAGGAGATGGACTGACCAGCATTTCCTATCCTTCACCGCTGTTCTTCAACTAAGGTTGCTGAGTTAAGATTGGCGTAGATACTGTTTTTTAAATAACCCCTCAAAAAATAGTCAAGTGGACCTAAAACAGAAGCTGGAGGAGGCTAACAGATCAGGCACTGATGTCCTATCCACCTATCATGGAAATGACGATTCAAATAACATCCACCTCCAAAGAATTGTGTGCTGGACATCCATCAAGCTGGAGGATCATTCTTTTTCGTTTTGTTGTTGCAGAAGAACATCATCCAATAGTGTTGTAAAACCTCCCTCAGATTCAACGAGCAACATTTAAATTATTTTCGTACAAATAAGGCCCAATTAATTCATTTCCGAGAAGTCCAAACCAAGCGTGGATACAGTGAACCACATGATGACAACAGTGCGAAATTCTCAGATTTTTCTCTGGCCACGTTCGAAAATTCCAACTGTTTTGTATCCCATTAGAGGTGAACTTGGATGCATCAGTCCATAGGATGCTTATAAAGAAAGTTTTCTGCAACTTCCCAAATAGACGTTTGTGCAAGGAACGTTAGACGTCTACATCCCGAAGTCCCAGGATAAGATAAGAGCGTTACGACTTAAAATTTCCATATCTAATTTTCTTTTTTGAAAAACCTAAAACTCTTCCAAAATTTCGGCGAGAGGAATTCCGATTTTCGCGAACATACAGTAAAATATTCAGCTCCTCGTCGAAATTAAGCTGCCGGTTTCTTTTTGCCATAACTTTACCATTTCTTGACCGATTTATAATCCAATTGCACCATTGATTCTGAGTAAAAAAATCAATCCTTTAAAATTATGTTTCATGATGTATTCAGTCGTATTGAAATTTTGATTTTGAACTGGGCGTCACCTGTATAATTTTTCAACGAAAAAAGAAAAAAAAATTTTTTTTTTTTTTAAATTTGTCGTACATTACAACTACCTTAAAGTAGGTAGTAAGTGAGAAAAGTAATTAAAACAAAACAAAATTAAAACCAACAGTGGAAAAAACACCAATTGGTATTACTCCAATGTTACAATAATATTGTTTGTTCAATTGTTACGTGTGTCATTATAACCATCACTTCCTAGGAGATCTCGCGGCCATTGTCTCTTCAGTCGGCGGGGGGATTCGTCGGGATGCGAGGTTTCTGATGTGTTGGTTTACGTTAGTTGGGAGGTTTTTATGAAATTTACGGTAACGGAAACGTATTTCGTCTTGTACGAAAGGAATATGTAAATCTGTATGTGTAGTTTGGTTCGATACATAAAATGGAGCATCTAGTATTTTTCGTAGTATTATAGACTGGGCAGTTTGAATGCGGTGGATATTGGAATGTTTGGCTGAACCCCACACTTCCAGTCCTTAAGTCCAAATCGGCTTAACTATGATGTTGTAAAGCAGCCTTTTATTTTTGAGAGGTAAATTAGAGCGTTTGTCAAGAAGTCGTGCAAGAATTCTAAATCGTGTCATAACCTCCTGACGTTTCAGTCTTGTGTGAGGATTCCACGTCAGGCGTTTGTCGATGTACAATCCGAGGAACCGCACCTTGTCCGCAGTTGGGAGGGGAGTATTGTTTAAGAAAACAGGAGGGGAGATCTTTTTACGAAGAGTGAAGGTAATGTGGGTGGATTTTTCTGCGTTAAATTTTATCCTTTTCTTTTTACACCAAGACTCTAGTAGTATGATGTGTTGTTGGAGGTTTTGAGTGGAAATGACAAGGTCGGAGTTGCTACAGAGAATTGCCGTATCGTCTGCAAATGTGAATGTGGTGGTTTCGGGATGAGATGGCATGTCAGATGTGAAAACCTGGTAGTGTAGAGGCCAGAACGCTACCCTGAGGAACACCAGCATGGATAGGAAAATATGAAGAGAGGGAATGGCCTTCGATGACTT